CTTAAAGAGATGAGTACACTTTTGTATTTTTGAATGCCAATTATACATTTGATGAACAGTCTACAAAAAATTAGCAGTTATTTGGTAAGCCAAAATTTTGTTAGGCACTTTAGGTTATGGGACAACAGGTTGCTCAAGGCAGCAACCAGCCTCTCCCACACTGTGGTGTGGCTGTATTTTCTACTATGCTGTGCTGCTAGTTCTAGCAAATCCTTTCCCATTGTCATTTTCTTGACTTCGATGCCACCCCGAATTGTAAATTCTCTGTCTTTTATAAACCAATCATTTGTTCTTTCTGCTGGACAAGTTGAATTCAAGCACAGATTGAATATATCCTCTTAATCCAACCAAGTTTGACAATTATCTGTGCCAATACAGTGATTTCTAGTGCCAGCATCATTTAGGTATTTTTTTTTTTTACTGATGTCTAGACAAATACAGGTGCTATTTATCGTTTTTGAAAACTCCCAATGGCTGTGTTTTGTAAAATTTTTCCTCTTAGTCACAGACCTGACCTGAGTAGCTAGTAACCTATTTACCTCTGAATGGTGATTCCCAAGAACCACTCTAATATTTGTTCCTCCCTTGAGTAACCTGTTGTTAGTTATATGTGACCTCTCTGCTTGTTCAATTATTGATTCTTAGATATTTATAACTTTCCTTTCAGTTGCATTCTTAGAATTTTAGCTTGCAAATGTTTATCTGAACAGAAAAAAACTTTTCTAAAGTATTTTTGTCTTTTCTCAGTCCAAGTAATTTTCTAAGTATATTTCATAACTTAGCAATCTCCTGAAAGTGTATCCGAGTACTAGCTTTGTTTTGAAAGATTTTATTCTTCCCAGTTTACCTATAATAAACTTCAAATCTATTTTTACTAGATTAATTGCGGTATATCACATTAGCATTTTGTATCACGAGATGTTTAATTTTTCATAGTTTAGTCCATCATACTCAACCCAAAGTAGTTTGAATACAAATAACAAACAGGTCACCACACAGTACTTGGTAAGGAGACTGAAGTAATGTGGCAGACCTAAAGTACTTTTCATTTTGAGGAGTGGGATATTATTAATTGCAATGCCTTGAGTGTTAACTTAATTAAATTTTATTTAAAAAATATAAAATCAAATCACAGTGAATTGACTCATCGTTTCATTCAATTATCTGTAAACTTCAAGATTTGATTAGTCATAGTTCTCATATTCACAGTTTTGACAGAAAAGCTTTCAAACTAATATAAAGGGATGGGCATGGTATAACCAATTAAGAAAATATAAAAGCACATGAGTTTTAGAAAACTATATAGTGCAGGACAAATCCAGACAAAATCTTGGCTTCATAAGGATATTAAGGATCAAATAGTCCATTTAAAAATTTTGCATATTAATAAATTAAGTCCCAGAAAATTTGTATGAATCAGATTCTCACTTGTTTTGACAAGATGCGTTTTAGGGCGTCACTGCAGATCCATCTTTTAGGTAATTTTAAAGAATTTAAAAGTCAACTTACTAATGTAAGGATTTGTGGACAAAACAGGCAAAAAATATGGAGACATGCTTTCTCCTTCTAAACCTACTATAGACTCGAGTACTCCTGCTATCTTATGTTCTCTCACTTTTTATCTTTGTGACACAAAGGATTTCATTTATAAAATTGATTTTTTAAGATTTTTTTTTTCTTGGAAAGGCAGATATACAGAGAGGAGGAGAGACAGAGAGGAAGATGTTCCATCTGATGAAAGGGGCTGCTGAGATAAGAACAGGAGACCATACAGGATCCCAGCGTGTCCAAGGAGAGGGCTTTAACCACTACACTATTGTGCCAGGCCCTTGATTTTTTAAACATGCATTGAAATTCTTTTGACTCTAAAGAAGTTTACAGTGTGGTAAGCTTGCAGGTAGTCCTTGTTTACCTACTAACAATAATAGCCAGTCATACTCACACATAGACACACACACATAGATAACTGTGTTTTATCGGAATTTTCATTTAATTTTACATTCAGTTGAATGAAGAAAGAATACACTGTGGAAATAGGGCATACGCCTCAATAGAAGAATCAGGGCAAACTGGGGAACCTTATAGATAAGAATAAAATCAGATACTTATTTTCAGCAAACATGAATATGAACTCAAAATTAATTAGACTTAAACATACACCTGACACCATAAAACTCCTAGAAGGGAACATATAGGAAAAATTTTTCTTGGAAATTATTGCTTCGATAGAATGCCAAACACACATAAAACAAAAGCAAAAATGGCAAAAACCAGTACACATGGTATTAATCCTAATGAAAACACTTACACACAACAAGAAAAACAATATCACAAAAAGATAAACCACAGAATGGGAGAACATATTCTGAAACTGTTTATCTGTTGAAGGTTAACATCCAAATATATCTTAGGAATTTATAAAGTTCAGTAACCAGAAAACAAATAACCCGATTAAAAAAAAAGTGGGCAGACATTGATATTTGGCATAGGAACTTAGGTACATGTAAGAATGCTTGAGTTGGTTTCAGAGTGCTTGGGTTTTACTCCCAGCTCTGCTTCCAATTCCAGCTTCTTGCTAAGATGCATTCTGAGATGCAGCAGATGATGGTTCAAGGTATTGAGTCATGGTGACTTGTTCGGAAGACCTGATTTGAATTCTTAGTTCCAGGCTTTGCCCTGGCCCATCCCTGACTGGTGGGATCATTTGGGGGAATTAGTCGCTGGATGATTGCCTTCTTTTCCCCCTTCAAATAAATAAGTAAAATTTTAAAATGGCCAAAATACATGACTGTACTTTGCTTAAAATAAGTCATACAAGGGACCAGCACCATGAGCCAACATTCCATATGGGTAATGCTTCATGTCCTGGGTGCCCCACTTCTGATCCACCTATTCGGTTGTTACCTGAAATGACAGTGGAGGGTGGCCTACGTCCTTGGCACACTGAACCCATGTGGGGGACCCAGAAGAGGTTCCTGGCTCCAGGCTTCATCTCAGATCAGCTCTGGTCATTGCAGCCATTTGGAAAGTCAACCAGTCCATGGAGTATCTTTCTTGCTCCTTTGCTCTGCAAATCTGCCTTTCAATAAACAAAAAATCTTGAAAAAAAATACCTTTCTAGTACATCTAAAGAGTCTCAACATCTCTAACCACCAGGAAGCTGTAAATCAAAACCACAATGATATATCACTTCATCTCTGTTAAATGGCTATTTTTAATTTTTTTGAATAATTTTCTAGCTTTTAAATTTAAGAATTTTAACCCTTTGCCACATTAACATCATATGTAGACATTACAATTACATATTTGTAGGTTGCCTTTTTCTTGAAATAGAAATATTAATATCACAGAGATGCATGAGGATGATTTGTAATCTGGGGAATCCAGTGTACATTATAAAGTACATTATATAGTTCAGTGAAGGAATATTGATAACAATGTAACAAATGTTATGACAGTCACCTAATTGGCCATTATTTTTAAAAAGAATTTACTTATTTATTTTTTGTTTGAAAGGCTAAGTGACAGATTTTTTTTAAAAAAACAGAGCAATCTCACACCTATGGGTTCACTCCTAAGTGCCTGCAATACCCAGAATGAAGCCGGGATCCAACAGTTGCATCTATATTTACTTTTTTGTTTTAAGTTTTGTATTATTTCTATTACAAAGTCAGATATACAGAGAGGAGGAGAGACAGAGAGGAAGATCTTCCATCCAATGATTCACTCCCCAAGTGACCACAACAGCCGGTGCTGCGCTGATCCGAAGCCAGGAGCCAGGAACCTCCTCTAGGTCTCCCACACGGATGCAGGGTCCCAAGCCTTTGGGCCGTGCTGGACTCCTTTCTCAGTCCACAAACAGGGGGCTAGATGGGATCCCGGCATGTTCAAGGAGAGGACTTTAGCCGCTAGGCCACCATGCCAGCCCTATATTTACATTTTTAAAAAATTTTTTTAATAAAATTTTATTTTAACATTCTTTACATAGTTAATTAGGGTAAGAAGGTTCAAGGGCTACAGGAAAGTGGATAATACTAGTATGTTTTCCATATTGTTACCTTCATGTTTAAAGGGGGGGTATTTAAGGGAGAAGGCCCACCCAATTTCCCACCCTCCCCAGGTCCCGGATGTAGGGCATGCTCTGAGGTTCTTGCTCAAGTGGTTTTGATATTGCAACCGTTATGAATTGCTGTCAATCTTGCCACTCCAAGCACTATGCGGTCTTTGAAAAATCCACTGATTGACATAGTCCATCATAGCTGAGATGGTTGGTTGACCTGTTCCGTCTTCTCTCTTTTCTTCGGTAGGGTTCTGAGTCCAGCATTTAATTAGGAAGATCTCCAAAGAAACTTCTTGTATGTGCTAACAAGTACAGGGTCTGGCACCGTCTATCGCTCCAATCAGCTGGTGGCTGCAATTGCCGGGTTGGTTCTGTTCTTACTCCGACTTCCACCCAAAGGAAGCGGGTGTGTTTTAGTATAGGAAAAATAAAAGGATAAAAAAGCTACCTGGAGATTTTAATCACAGCCTATTATTTAAGCAGAAGTACCAACAAAGTTATGCATTCCAAAGAATCATAATCCCAAAGGGATAGCACTTCAGAGTATTTCCTCTGAAGATGGTGTTTTAGAAGGAATGTAGTATGTTTAGAGAGTCTGTTTAGAAATAATAGTCAAATGGTTTTGACAAAATCACGGTTTATCTGCAAGAGTCTTGGAATTTTTGAAACAGTTTGTATTTTACCATCTATTTGTTCTGTGGTTTGAATTGGAGCTCAGATACGTCATCACATATTTTTTGGCAGCTTTTAAAAGTCTTCATTGTAAGCTGAAGAAATTACAAGATTTGAAAATTGCTTTGTTAAAAAAAATAAGAACTAATTCAATTTTAATTTACTTTCAGCTCATGCTGTGGATCAGGGCCCTTTTAAATTAATGCATCCGTATTTTAGTTCCACTTTGAAATGGGCCCAATTTTAAAAGGCATGGTTCTGGTTTTAGGTATAACAGCTGCAGCAATGGCTGAGGCAATGAAGCTGCAGAAGATGAAGCTGATGGCTATGAACACTCTGCAGGGAAATGGAAGTCAAAATGGAACTGAATCTGAACCTGATGATCTGAATTCTAACACAGGTGAGTGTCTTCAGGAATCTCAGTTGGACGCCTCTTACTGTTTTATGGCTGTATGGGAGAAAAGAGGGATCACGGCAGTAGAGAATATCATCTATAATACTGTGATTTTAAACAGTCACCCTAGAAGTATAAGATTAAGATCTTATTGCTAGCTTAAATATTGACACTAGATAGCCATTCCTATTGCAGACTCATTTAGTTATTTCCGTTGTTTATAGCAGTAGGATTAAATATAATCTCTTACAGTGATAGCCACTGTGCTGTCCGCTAAAAGCTGCCCATTCTACCTTTGCCACAGAGGTCTTAATTCCTCCTTTTCTAAAGAAGGAAAGACTGAGATTTTAGGTTGTCACACTACAATCTGTTTTGCTGTTTGGAATACCATCTCCTTGGCTGAATATGGATGCTGACAGACCCCAGACATTATTGACAGAGGCTAGAGAAAAGGAATGGAAGAATGGAATATATATATATATATATAATATATATATATATAAAATATATTCACAATACATTATATATTCATATATAACCATATACAAATACATAATATATGTAAATATATATTACAAATATATATTCTATATAATATAGTATATTTATTCGATTCCTTTTCTCCAGCCACTGTTTTACATACAATTTTAATATAATTATATTATTGTATATATATATAAAATATGTATAATATTGCAGAAAGTCAGAAAGTGAGTGAAAAGAAATAAGATTCTGAAGTGGACTGTGTCTTGCCTTTGCACTTATTTTTAAAATTTAAAAAGAGTTACATATTCTTATTTATTTGAAAGGGAGAGAGAAGAGAGAGTGAGAGAGAGACAGATTGAGATCATCCATTCATTGATTCATTTCACAAATTCCCAGATGTCCACAATAGCAATGGAAAAAGCCATAAGCCCAGCACTTGACCCAGGTCTGCCATGTGGGAGGCAAAACCACAAGTATTTGAGCCATAACTTGCTGCCTTCTCAGGATTCACATAATTAAGTAGCTATAATTATAAATAGAGTTGGGACTAAGAACCAAGCACTCTAATACCATATATCATATATTCAAACTGCATCTTATCTACTGTGCCAAATCTCCAGAACCATAATACTTGTTTTTATTCCTTTATGCTGCAATAAAGTGTAATTTTTCCCTGATCATCAGAACCCTTAAAAGTCTTTTGATGTAGGTGGGATGATATGTGAATGAATGAATGGATGAATAAAGTTTATTTGGAGGCAGAACTATAAAAGATAACAAAAAAGGTCATGGTAGTCTCAGATTTCCAAGCTTACTCTGCTGTTAAATTCAGCATAATGTGATAGATTGTCAATAACTTTACTTACCTCATTTTAGGCTCTTAAAAATTTAAGCATGATCGAATCTATTTTGGAAGAAAACATGAAGTAGAATTAGATAGCAACTTTACTTAATCAAATTGTTAGGAGAAATCATTATGAGTTTAATACAGTATAAATACACTTATCTAAAATTTCAAAGTTGCTGGTAGATTACGCAATGAAACTTTTTCTTCAGGGGTCATGGTGATACTTTCTTTAAAGCCGGAGACTGAAAAATACAATAAATAAAGTAACTAACAGCAGTAGTTATGATATTTACCAGTTTCTATGGTAGTACATAACTTAACTTTACCAAAATCTCTAGAAAATGGCATTTATAATACTCTCATTTTACCAATAAGGAAACAGAAGCACATAGTATTTCAACTTTATTTACAGTCAAAAAGCTGGTGAAATACAGACATGAGTTTCAGTCTCTTTTCTGGCTAAGTCCAAAGTATTTGTTCCTTCTCGATTCTGCCTCCTCCTCAATTGTTTTGATAACATTTCACTTTATCAAGTCCCTTGTATAAAATTGTAAAAATAAGGAAGTGTGAGAAAACAAAGATCAGTTTCATAGTCCTAATGCCTCTTACCTCATAATGGATTTTAAATGTTAGGATATCTTTGGAATGACTACATTTGACATGAAACTTCTTGAAACTGAATTTTGTTGTCAAGGAATGTTTTATACAAATAAGGATGAGTGAGGAGTCATGCAATGACTTCTATCATATCTCAGGGATACCATTTTCATAAAAAGACTTTCTAAAGAATCATTATGCTTCTCCATTCGCGGAATAAACTTGCATTCTTATTTTTAATGTTGCATAGTTAGTAGTTGTTCTTGCTAGATAGAACTTGGTATGACCTTGCCAAACTATAGAAATGCATTCTCATGATAAAACAAGGTATTAAGTTTCCATCTGTGTATAATGTTAAATTTAGCATTGTAATAAAAAGACAGTGTTTACTATCCTTGCTCGTGAAGAGATTGTAACCTAGCTACTACAATCTTGATGTGATAAAGGGATCAGACTTGAAAGATAATCATCATCTATATGTAAGTGAAGGCTAGGAGGATTTTAAAAGTCCAGATAAAGGAAATCTTTCTTCTGTTAGAAAACAACTACTGTTTCACAAGCAATCATTTTAAAGGGAAATTTATTTTGATAATTTTAGAAGTGAATGTTTTTGACAGCTTTGGATACTAGTATGACTTTGATTGTGTTTGGGTCACCTGTTTTAGTATTTATTTAATTTTCTGTTTATTTGGGAGGAAGAGTTAGAGACAGAGAGAGAGAGAGAGAGAGGAAGAGAGAGAACAGTTCTTTCTTCTGTTGGTTCATTCCAAACATGGCTGCAACTGATAGGCTAGACCAAGCTGAAGATGGGAATCTAGAACTCCACGTGGGTCTCCTATGTGGTTAACAGGGGCCCAAGTAATTGGGCCATCTTCTTTTGCATTCAAAGTACCTTTGTAGTGGGATGAATCAGAAGTGGAGCAGTTGGTGCCTCAATCAGTGCTCATATGGGATACTAGACATTGCAAATGGCTGTTTAAACTTACTGTACCACAATGAAAGCCTTTAATTGATGCATGTAGGATCTGAATAATAGTTATGACCTTGGTTTTAATGCAGGTTACTGGTTGAACTAGAGTTGGGAAACTGGCTAAGTAGCTCAAAGGGTAGATAGGTCTTAGATAATTGCTGAGACTATTTACACAGTAGGTATTAGATTTAATGAGGAGAAGGAAAAAATCAGTCAATTTGATAATATACAATCAAACAAATGATGTGCTATTATGTTAGAAAAATGCATTTGTGTAGTGGCATAGAAGAGATCATCAGATTATGATCTAATGTAGTTATTTTCAGCTTTGTAACAGAATACTGGTGGTATATTTGAAATGATCAGCAAACAATAAAAAAAGTTCAAGTGTGTCACTGAAATAAGCAGTGTGGTTAGTGACCATTTCTAACCCACTCCAAGCGGAGATAAAGTAATTATTGAATAAGATTCAAAACAGAATTCAAGTTCTGTGTTAAGTACCCACAATTCCACAATATATGGTGTTCCAACAGAGCAAAAGGCAATTTCTGAAAGAAGACATAAGTCACTTAAATTTAAATGTTGATGATATAGGTGAGAAGGTACAATGTGCAAAGAACTGAATGACTATATTCTGGAACAGAATGTGATAAAAATAGCAAGAACAAAATACTATGAAAATATAGAGAAAGAAGAAAATTTTTTTCTAAGACAGTAAGGGATGGAATACAAGAGTAGGTTCTGTTATTTGAGCTGTGCTTTGAGTTGAAAGTGAAAATCAGAAAGTGGGTGGCTTCAAATCATGTGGTAAGCAAACAGCAGGATTCTCCTGCGGAAACATTTCCAAGCAGTGGTTCTGAAGATCTCTCAGGTCACTCTGGGACTTAGACGAAAACTGAGTATATGAATTAAGAAAATGTTACGTTTCAGGCCCAGAAAGCCTTGATTCATTAATTTCTTCTTTTTAATTTTAGATTTTTTTAAATCTTTATTTCAAAGTCAGATGTACAGGGAGAAGGAGAGACAGTGGGGTAGATCTTCCATCCAATGGTTCACTCCTCAAGCAACCACAACGGCCAGAGCTGAACCAATCCAAAGCCAGGATCCGGAACCTCCTCAGGGTCTCCCAAACGGGTGCAGGGTCCCAAAGCTTTGGGTCGTCCTCAACTGCTTTCCAGGTCACAGGCGGGGAGCTGGATGGGAAGCGGGGCTGCCGGGATTAGAACCGGCTCCCATATGGGATGCTGGGATGTGCAGGCCAAGTACTTTAGCCACTAGGCTCCTGCGTCGGGCCGATTCATTACTTTCCTATGTTAATTATAAAGCATCTACTTAAAATTTTTATTGAGTTAACTTTATTTATGTAAACTGAAAAATACTATACACTGCACAGTACAGATTTAGGAATGAAAACGGTTTCTAAAGTTAAATTTCAGAGTTCTAAGTGACTTAGTTGATTGCAACAGTCCCACACAACAGGTGGTGATTGAAGGATGAGAAACTTGTTGGTCATCACAGAGCTAGGTAATGAAATATCTGACACTGGTTCCTACTCCCCTGATTTTGCCACTATAACATCATTCCTCCAAAGTTTAAATAGGATTTTTAGTATGATCTAAGGTACTCACTAACTTTTACTTTGAGGTAGAGTGCCAATTAATAATCCTAGAGATGAAGATGAAGTTGACCTATCTCAAATTTTGTTTGTAAATTAGGTGCCTGACCTTAGGTCAGACCTGACCTGACCTCACAATCTATTCTTGGCATTATCATTTTGTCTATATTGGTGATACATTTTCTGTTGATAATATTTTTCTCTTTGATTAAGAGGTATAGCAAGCAAATGCTTCACTTAATATTCTCAAACTGCCACATTAATTAAATCTTAAAAAAAAATTACACCTAACGGGGCTGACATGGTGATATAATAGGTTAAGCTGCCTCCTGCAGCACCAGCGTCCCATTTGAGGGTTGGTTCATTCCAGCTACTCTGCCTCCAATCCAACTCCCTGCGAATTCTCCTGGGGAAAGCAGCGGAAGATGGCCCAAGTGCTTGGGCCCCTGCTGCTCACATGGGAGTCCTGTACAGAGTTCCAAGCACCTGGT